CCTGCAGCTGCAGCAGCTGCTCCCTCACGCTGTCCAGCTGGCTCTTCAGCTCCTGCCTCTCCTGCCGCCGCCGCCGGCCCCCCCGGGCCCTCTTCACCCGCCGGCACTGCCGGTACAGCTCCTCCTCTTCCTCGCCCGCTGGGCGGCCCCTCTTGCTCGCCCTGGGGGGGCTCCGGAACAGGGGGCCCCCTCCCTCCTCCTCCTCCTCCTCCTCGTCCTCCTCCTCGTCCTCCCCTTCTCCCACCTCCTCCTCCTCCTCCTCCTGCTCCGACGCCGAGCCTTCCAGACTCTCCTCCGCGGCGCCGCCCTGCTGGAAGCCCCCGGTACTGCAGCTGTGGTGCCCCTCGGTTTTCAGCAGCCGGGAGATGAGGGAGCTGGCGGGCAGGTGGTAGGGGTAGGGGTAGCTCCTCTCCTGGTAAGGCGGGCCCCTGGGGGGGCTCCCATAAAGACGATAGGGGCAGTTCTGGGGCGACTGGGGGCAGGACTGGTTCTCTGTGCAGTCCAGCTCCATCTCTCTCCTGATCCGGATTTGTCTTTTTTTTTATGGGAATGAAGTGTCTTCAATCAACTTTTTTTTTTCCTTTTCCTTCTGTTTAAAAATAGAACAAGAGGCAGAGAGATGATTTTAATGGGGGGGCTCTGCACCATGACCCCATCCCACCTCCCAAAATAAACCCCCCTGCTGCCCTGGTTCTCCCAGGACTCCCACGTCCTGCGACATGAGCCTTAGGCTTCTACGTCTACGTCTGGCTGCTGTTGGGTTGGAGCCTGCTCCCTTTTGTGCCTGGTGTTGTGCTGCCCACGCTACCTCCGGGGCAAGGGCCCCCAACACTCCCGATCCAGCCTGTTAAACCAGCTCCTTCGACGGACTGGAGACCGTTTATCACGGCGGTCGGTTTAGCCGGTGACTGCTCAAACAAAGCAGTTGAGAGATTTAGGAACCAAACACGTCGGAGGTACTGGATTGAACGTGAAGCACTGGGGGTTATAGGTCCCCCATCGCAAAATATTAACAAAACCTGCATAGTAGAGAGAGAAACTCGCAAGGAAAGTAAGAGGTTGAGCAGTTGCTTAGTAACCGGCAGGAGTGAGCGCCCAGGCACGCACACACACACACTCCCAGCTCTGGGCTGGATCTCTCTCTCTCCACTTCCTGCGCTTTTATCAGCGCCGACAGCCCTGAACGCTGTTTGTTCAGCGTGTTGACACGGCCGGCAGGCTGCGGTGATTACTGACCCCAGCGGCGGCTCCCTGCGGGCCCCGTGGGGCAGGTCCTGGGAGCCAGGCGGCTGCCCACCCGCCCCACCCTCACTGGTCACTTCACTGGGCTCATTCCAGTCACCCCGGGGGTCTCGGTCAGTCGGTCAGACAGTCGGCTTTGCAGCAGTGAGAGACTGCGGTGTTCAGTCAGTTGTCTGTAGCGTTCAAATAGTCAGCCGTGGTGTTCAGCGAGTGGCGTGCAGTCAGCGGGCTGTGGTGTTCAGTGAGTGGCGTGCACTTAGCTGTGATCAGTGAGTGGAGAGCAGTCAGCTCGTTGTGGTGTTCAGTGAGTGGAGTGCAGTCAGCTCGCTGTGGTGTTCAGTGAGTGGCGTGCAGTCAGCGGGCTGTGGTGTTCAGTGAGTGGCGTGCACTTAGCTGTGATCAGTGAGTGCAGTGTAGTCAGCTCGCTGCGGTGTTCAGCGAGTGGCGTGCTGTGGTGTTCAGCGAGTGGCGATGCACCAGTCTAGGTCGAGAGCCAGCCTGTGGAGAGCCTGCTGGCCAGAAGCCACTAGCCCCAGTCACAGCCCTGTCTCCCAGTACACTCTCCCTCCTGAACCCTATGTCCAGACAGGCACACAACTGTCCTGGAGAGCCACCAGTCCGGGTGACAGTCTCCCGGAATCAGTCAACTGGCTGAACTGGTCAGGCCTGAGCTGGGTGTCTGGAGCAGATCTCGCGCTGAGCTCTTCCCCTGATCCGGACGCTGCCCCCTGGTGTCTAGTGTCATTAACTCCCAGAGGCGTCCGATTTACACCACCCACGAGGTTAATTGGTTAATTGACGGCGGGAGTTTCCCTGGGGCTCCAGCCCGGACAACCTGTACCAGCGATGGGAGGAGCTCTTTCCCTCTGTTTTATCGCGAGATTCTGCCAGGTTTCACATCGCGTGCGAAATCACGTCATTTAGCCGGGTTTTTTTATCATACGAATGGCGAGGAAGGGATCCTTCCTTTTATTACAATATGGAGTCCGTTTAAAAAACAACAAAAAAAAACGTTTTCCTCCCAGTTCCCCGCAGGCGTGTAGGCGAGGGACGCAGTTAGCAGAAAGGACGTTAGGTGACGTCTGCTTATGCCCAAATTCGCCACAGCCGGGCTGTAAAATCCGCACAACGGGCTCAGACGGTGAGATCGTCAGCGCCTGAAATCTGTCGCCCCTTTCCCGAGTGTACATAAACCCACGTCGCGCCTACTCGTAAACCGTGACGTGTCCAAGCTAGTTGCTAGTCCCCGCCGACCCCCAACACCACCACCACGGCGTGCGATCTGAAAAGGTAAAACGTCGGGAAAAGCAACCGAAAAGAATCGGATGGGTTCAGTTCGCGGGGCCGCTGTCTGTGTGGAGTCTGCATGTTGTTCGCGTGCATTTCCTCCGGGGGGGGGGGTCTCCGCATGGTCTCTGGACAGTGTGGTTTCCTCCCACGGTCTAAGGCCATGCTGGGAGATTCATTCGCTTCTGGGGAAACCGAGTGTTTGTGGGTGGGTGGGTGTCCTGTGATGGACTGGCGTGTCCCGCCCGGGCGGTACGCTGCTTGCTCGCAGGTTTAGACTCCTGGATCAGCCGGTTGGAAACGGGGAGGGAGGGCGGGCCTTCGCGGAGTCTGACAGGAGAGGCGCTTCCGGCTCCAGGGACTCCTCCACGCAGGACAGCGGGCGTCGGTGGGTTGGAGGTTTTAATGATGGAATCGGGAAAAGTCCAGCTCGGGGGTTTGCAGCAGAGGGATGCGCACCTAAGCAGGGCGAACTGAGACTCAAATCAGAGCGGGATCGAAGCCGAGCCGAGCCGGTCCGCTCCAGCGCACCCGGCCGGAGACCCAGAGCGATCAATGCTTCCGACACGCGTGGGCTCGATGACTCTTTGCTGGCAGGAGGGGGGCGCAGGGTATGTGTGTGTGTGTGTGTTTCTGACACGTGAATAAAGATCCCCGAGAGATCGAACTCCCTCTCCTCGCGCTGTCCAGGGGCAGAGCCCGACCCGCGCGCGTGCCGCTCGCTCGCTGGCGCGAGGGCTGCTGGACCCCGCCGGACACTGACCCCCACTCCCCACCCCCACGGACCGCCGGCCGGACCGAGCGGAGACCGAGACTAGAGGGCACCCGGAACGCTCCTGTCGACACAAAGAAATAATCAACAACGCCACCGCCAACAACGGACACACAACCCCGAACAAAGTTCTGGCTCGGTCGGAAAACGTCGGAGTTCGGGATCATTAAGAACAACCCCGAAGCCCGCCTGTCCGTGTTGACACGGGTCCCGATCACTCTCACTCATTACCAACTGCGCGTTCACAGCCGGGGCGCTGCGGACAGATCCACGCACAACCCACGGGCTGAGGAGCCAGACGCCCGCAGCCTGAGAAAGAATTCACACTAAATAACGGCTCGGGTTCTCCCAGTTCTCCCAGTTCTCCCAGCTGCTACTCACTGCTCCGCCGAGCTGGTGCGCAGGACGGGCCGAACTTCTCCAAGCGAGCGGCCGCCCCCCGGCCGGACGAACCGCTGGTGTCCCGTGTCGGGGGAGCAGGATGCCGAGCAGCGCGTCCGCCTCGGTACCCGAATTTCCTGTTTTTGCCCGTCCGGACC